TCAACCCATAGTATGAAAACCACTGTCCTAGGTGCTAAAATGGTAATTTTCCATTGCTGTCCCTGTGGTTGAATACAAAGTGCAGACCTTGTGCACTGTTTTAATTGTTTTTACCTGGAAAAAAAAAATAAAGGCCAGGCTCTTACATTCTTTGGCAGAGAGCACTAATCACAAGTCGTCTACATTCCTGACTCGCTGGTTAATACCATAGTATGAAAACCACTGTCCTAGGTGCTAAAATGGTAATTTTCCATTGCTGTCCCTGTGGTTGAATACAAAGTGCAGACCTTGTGCACTGTTTTAATTGTTTTTACCTGGAAAAAAAAAATAAAGGCCAGGCTCTTACATTCTTTGGCAGAGAGCACTAATCACAAGTCGTCTACATTCCTGACTCGCTGGTTAATAGCCCACTGATTTTTGCTGAGAAAAAAAATAAGCTAGCCTGCAGAAAAGTGAGCTGGTTGTATGAGACATTGCCACCTCTCTTCTGCCTTAAATCCTCAAGCCCAAGTTTTAACACAGCATTTCCGACTTGGTGAAAGGATGCTCCTCTTGTTGCCAAAGAGAAAGCAACAGTGCCAGAGATCTAATCAGGTGGTGACACAGAGGACTAGAAGATATGTTTATGAACATGGAAAAGGTAGTTCTCCTGGCTGGCTGCTGCTGTGGTTTCAGTTACAAGAGAAGCTAAAATATGTTTGCATTAGTGGCAAATCCATCCGGCGCAGTGCTAAGACTCTAATGAGAATACATGTAATCTGATTGTGGGCTAATTCGTTTGACACATCAGAGCCACTCATATGAGCTTGGTAGTTAAGGTAGACGATCTGTGTTACTCAAGAAGAGCTCAGTATTGCATAATTTACCAGCCTACTAGAAATTAGGAGTAAATCTAGGAGCCAAGCCTCGGAATGTATAAATGAAGGTTGAGTAATTAATAATTCACTGGTCAGTAACATTAATACACTGCAGAGGAGAATTTCAAAAGCATGAAAGGCTGATGGGTATCAAATTTCTTTGAAAAACTTTCCTGTACAATCACCCTGGTTAACTAAAATACAGAGTCGGGGTGTGCAGTAATTAGCTCATAGGCTGGACGTGATTTGCCAGGGTTAGCTGCTGGTGAGCCGCCAGATACATTATTTATCTGTGTAGACTCAGGCATGAGCTCCCATTGGCTGTGAAATGTGGTTCCCAGGTAACAGGAGCTGCTTCCATTGGCTGGGAATAGCGATCCAAAGGGAGCTACGAGCGGCCGTACTTGCAGGCACGCAGGTAAATAAAAAAACTGGCGTCTTGCCAGGGGTTAAGCCTGCGGAACCATGTCCGGGCCAGGTACATAAAATGCGATTGGCTAGAACCACCACTCAGCTGTGGAAGTCCAGTAGGTTTTAGGAGCGGGGGGAGACAGAACAGAAGCTGTTGCGGTGGCATTGATATATTGCACTCTGGGGCCCTGATCCTGCCAAGATTAATGCAGGTCCTTGATCACTCTGCAGACATGCGGGGAGAGACGTCTCTGCCCGGAAGGCCAGGTACATAAAATGCGATTGGCTAGAACCACCACTCAGCTGTGGAAGTCCAGTAGGTTTTAGGAGCGGGGGGAGACAGAACAGAAGCTGTTGCGGTGGCATTGATATATTGCACTCTGGGGCCCTGATCCTGCCAAGATTAATGCAGGTCCTTGATCACTCTGCAGACATGCGGGGAGAGACGTCTCTGCCCGGAAGAGGCTCCAATCTAAATAGACAAGACAGAAGAGGAAGAGGGGAAACAGGCCCAGAGGCAAAGCGATTTCTCCGTCGTCGGTGACACAGCTGGAAATAACCTCCATCCCCTTCCCACGTCTGCTACCAATAGACCCTTACGTCTAATTTGAGGTACAAAATGGATGAGTTTGACTGGGACACTGTAGGAAATGTCAGTTGTATGGAGCCATAAGATGTGTTTGCCAGGCTTGGTTGGTCATAGGCTTCAGAGCAGCTTTTCACTAAGGAGAAGGCATTTCATCTCAATATCGCACCTGTCAAGGTGCTCAGCATACAGCAGTGAGTGCCAGCTGGGAGCACCTTCCCAGCACGAATGGATTTTACCCTCCCAAATCCCTGTGAGGTTGGGGAGAACCAGGCAGAGAGAAATTAAGCCATTTGCCCCCAGGTAATCTGTGACGGAGGCAGGATTGGCACCTCTTTACGCCCAGACTAGTTCTTTATTAGACCAGCCTTCCTCCAGGACTGGTGAGCCAGAATTAACTCCTGCAGAGCATAAGAGGACATATCATTTATTATTGCTTGGGGTAGGAAGCGGATAGCTGCCAGTCATAGGAGAGAGATGCAAAGCTTTCTTTGTGCGTGCCGTGGAGTTGCTTTGGAGGCACAGAACGCAGGAGACCAGATTCGAGACAGATGCTTTGCCAGAGTACCCTAGCTGGGAGAAA